AAGTGCGTCTTATACACCGAAAAATATGGTAATTGGATTTTCGGGTCGTTAGATAGGAGAAAACAAAAGGTTGTTATTAATGGATCCTTGTTTCTATTGGAGTGCCTCAGCAGTCAGTGCTTGGTCTTTTGCTTTTCTTTTATTTACGTGAGTAAAGTTTGCAGATGACATTAAATTTAAGTATTTCTAGCTGTATTGAGGATAATGACATATATTTGACAAATGACATTTAAATATAGTACATTTAAGGTAATGTGTCTTAGTTATCATAATTTGGATCACACGTTGAATAATTATTGGAACCTAATCAATGGTGTGACTGGATAAAAGGATCTTAGGTAATAAGTCACTCAAGTCATCAAAGCAATGCTCTGTTGCTAGTAGTAAAGCTAATATAACTTTAGGGTGTTTTTATAAACATATTAATTTATAGGTCAAAACAGGCAATTATCTGTATACAAATCACTATTTAGGCCTCACTTGGAATACTGTGTACAGTGTTGATCTCCTTATCTAAGAAAGGATATTGACTTGTTGAAAAAGGTTCAGAGGAAGGCTGTTGAAATGAGTCCATGGATGAAAGGGTTATCTTACAGAGATAAGATCTCTTAAATTACTTTCGCTTGAGAAAAGGAGGATAAGAGATGATCTTATTGAAGTTTACAGGAGTATCTGGAAAATTATTTCGATAAAGGCCTGTCATTTTATTGTGCTATATTTGGAAGATGATATACACAAGTTTAAGATTTGTAAAAGAAAGTCTAGGCTCCAGTTAAGATAGTTTTATCTTTCTAACAGTATAATTGACTTATGGAATGAGTTTCCATCTGCAGTAGTAGTTGAGGCCAGAAATTTATAAGATTTTATCAGAGAAATTGATGAGTTCCTGAAATTCAAAGGGTGGGTTTAAATTTTTACTTTCCCAAGGAAAGATATGCAGGGACAGCCTTGAAAGACCAAATGTCCCTTATTGTCCATATGTCATGTCCTTCCAGGCTTTGTTTGGAAAACTATTGAGGCCAAAAGATACTTGATGATCTTCTGACCAAAGATTGCCAAAATCAGCTTGTTTGTTGTACATAACGAGAAAATAGAAGACAAGTTATTTGAAAAATATAAATTAGTTTTGTTTTATTCTTCATGAATTTCTAACTTATAGTTACCACTTTGAATTCTCACGAAAGCAAATATCACAAAGGAACTATTTCAGTAAAATGTCGTACTATTAGTATTATTCTCTCATGGCTTGCTATTCTGTAAATATGTTACTTCCCTTATACATCATAATTTTTATTGAACTTTTATTATGGTTAACTTCTGATTAAAGCAAACTCACAAATCAAAACTAAAAGTTAACCCAGTAATTAATATAGCTAATTTAGTATACCTTCTTAACAGGAGAGTGTTGACCTTGTGTACTGCCATAATTGGGTTTTCATTATCTGAATCTTTATTATTATACACATGAATACACATTATTTGCAGATTTTCTCACTGATTTGTACCATGTCATGCATCCCTCAAGTTTTTAAATTTTATCCCTGACTGACTGTATTTGTTTTCTAGTAATATAACAAAAGCAAGTGTTTTGTTGCTTAAGCAATGTGTGTAAGTACAAAACATAACTTCCATTAAATTTGTTCACACTTACTATGGTACATATGTATCTTCTTTTAAATTTTCAAATTGTTATTTGTCACAGTTTTTATATGGCTTTGATTTTTTGCAGTTGTTAACCCGGAAGTGAGTCAAGTGAGTAACTTTTTGAGATTTTACATTTTGAAAAAGGCCTATCATTTTGTAAATTAAATTTATTTCTGCATGGTTCTCCGAGTAATCTTTTTGTTGCTGATTTTAAAAAGTTTTTATATTTTTCACTTACAAAAATTTGAAAATATCTGCTATGAAGTTTATTAGTTTTAATATTATTATTGAGTAGTATGTAAAGAATCTGTTTTGAATAGATTACTAAAGTCGAATCTTATATTTAAAATGTTGCTGTATACAGAATATCTTGAAGAGTATTATAACAAATAATTCATGAGTGATAAAATGATACATGTACATACTGAAATATATTTATATTTATTGTAAAAACCTAATTAATGAAGTATGTATTTTGTTTAATAATCAAAATTATTGATTTAAATCTCAATAATTATTTATGTGACTATATAAATTTATTAAAATGATTTATTAAAGATAAACTAGTAACTTGAGATTTGTTTAGGTACTTTTGGCCACTATAGAATGAGTTTTGGTAAATGAGAAATTATTACCTCATCATGACAGATTAAGGCTAAACTTGAATTAACCTAATATGGAACATATTTTAGGATTTTATATACACTGTTTTTTTAGGGTTAAGTACAAATTCTAGGCCTAAAGCGTAAAAAACAAAACATCAAAATTCATAAAAATGGCTGTTATGGTTTTTCTAGTTTAAAAAAAGGAAATAATTCACGGTTTGTTGTATAAGCATTGTTTTTACATTTTTTCATATGCACTTTTAAAATTTGTCCACAAATGTCTTTAAAGAGGTATTAAAATTTAGAAATACGTTTTGTGTAAGATGGATGAAAAGCTTTTATATTACAAATAACTGTATTGAAACTGTTAATAATTAATGTTAAACTAAGTTTAGTAATTTGTTTTAAAGAAAATTCTGTTTATAATTTTTTTGTTTGCTCATTTATAATACTTCAGTACTCAGTTATTGGAAGTAAGGCTTTGAATGAAAAGTAATGAATGAAAGCTTTGGTAGTATTTTAGGGCACGAAGCAAAGGAAAAGGAATTACTGGTGGAAGCAACAAAGAAAATGTTGGTAAAGGAGGAACAAAAATCAGTAGATCACAAAGTAATTCTTTATTTTTGAATCTTTCTTTTTCATACATAAGTTATAGAGTTTTAATAAAAATTATTAACCCTATCTGAATGACTGAGCATTTTTCAGGAGTTGAGCACACCTGTGCATACCAAATTTTGCACAGAGCTTAAACATTTTTTTAAATTCAGATTTTGCTTTAAAAACCTCTCGAATTCCAACAAAACCATTTGAAAAAACCCTTAAATCAAAGAATACAATTTCTATACAATTTCTATTGCAAAGTGTTTTTTAGTTTTATATTGGAAGTTTTGTGAGGTCAATCAATTGTTAACTTATTTACTTTCATTAGTTATATTTGCCTGAGCAGTGGCCCGGCATGGCCAAGTGGTTAGGGCACTTGACTCGCAATCTGTTCAAATCCTTGTCCCACCTAACGTACTTGCCCTTTCAGCCGTAGGGTCATTATAAAGTGATGATCAATCCCAATAATCGTTGGTAAATGAGTAGCCCAAGAATTGGCAGCGGGTGGTGATGACTAGCCAGCTGCCTTCCATCTAGTCTTTCACTACTAAATTAGGGATGGCTAGTGCAGATACCCCTCATGTAGCTTTGTGTGAAATTCAAAACAAACCAAAGCCTAAGCAGTACTCCATTCATTTTTGTGTTATTTCTCAAAAATTTAATTTTATTCATCATCTTTTTTTTGGCACTTAATGACCTGTTTGCTAATTTAATTTTACAGTGTAAAATGAAACAGTAAGTAATTGAAAAGGGTAGTAAATGTCTGTGTACAATCTTTGTTGAAAGTATGTTATATTTGATTTAAACCTGTTTTCATGAATTAACTCTAGATTATCTCATCTTTTGTTATGTGGAAGTACATATTCAATAGGAACTGGTTAGACCAAGATGAATTCAAAACTTAGGTCACAAAGGGTGTGTTATGGCTCTTGCAATCAAGTAATTGATCTGTGAAAAGATGATTCAAAGTGTGCTAAGATCGCCTATGAAAAGCACTGAAGGCTATTGAGAAAAACTGTTCCAATTCTTTTGCAGGATTTATTTCTGCAAAGAACCATCAAAGTGCAATATTATGGATCCTGTGAATCGTAGAAGATCAGTTTTTAAAGTTTCATGAATGTCTGTTGTTCAGACTCCTTAAGAAGTCCTTGAATTTTATTACCATGACTGTTTACAACCCCTGTTTAACAATATTTTACTCAAATACTTTTTTAGAATTGATATTTTGTAACATTTGTATAGTGTAAATATAAAATGTTCATACTTACATATCTGAACAGCTTCAAGAAATATTGTATATAACAATGCATTTATCAATTTTTTTCAGATTTTTTATGCCCATCCAAAATCCTGGGTTTATATTTTGCTAAGAAACTATCATTCTTTGAGATTATATTAAAAAAAAAGATTTTGTTTTTCAAGTGTTTTCTGTCTCTGTCACTGATTTTTATACAATTTTTGTTCCCAATCTTTTATGACTTCACAGCATGTAATGTGAACAAATACTAATGACACTAATCTTGGAAAATAGGTACAAGCAACTTTTAATTACTTTTGGATAGAACAAATTATAAACAATTTAAGATCAATGTAGAATGTATAAAATGGTGTTAAAAGTAATGTATCCTTTGTGGTAAAATGACAAGACCTAGCTCTTGCAGTAAAAAAAAACAGAATCTAATGAGATGTTTAGAAGATCTAAGACCACAGATCTAAGAATTTTTTTTATAATTTAATTAGACATTATTTTCATTCTTGGAAATGTAATCATGTTAAATTATATCTTCTTGAAAGCTTTAGAAATTTTCTTCTATAACAAGTCATCATGTACGTCTAATTAGGTTTAAAAAGTATGGGAAGTGGCAACAAAATATTCTGATGACTGAAATGTGTCTCATATCCATATTTATTGAAAACTAGCAGAGCACCCGGCATTGCTCGGATGAAAATTGCTCTTTATTTACATGTAATTTATTTATCTACTGTAAGTCTTCTGTGTACACGATATTATAAATGCCCTCTTGATCACATGTTACCAAAAAAAGCCAGTCTTTTTAATTTGAGACCACTTGGTTGTCCTGTTTGCCAGAAATTGCTATATTGGTCACTTTGGCTTCAATTTGCAGCCTCAAAATGGTTTTTGAAGCTGTGGCCACATAGCTCATGTTACTTCCCATACAAAGTTGTATCTTTACTTTGAGTTTGGAGTTTGTAGCTTTAAAGATGTGGCCGTGCATACGGAACAGACCCACAGCTAGAGAGAGGCGATCACACTTATATATATATATGTAGATGATTGTTAAGGTTATCTTTTTCGCACAATACACGTGAATAACGAACACAGAATTTATTAAAAATAAAGTACATTTCGTAGGCATAAATTGATTTCAACCAAGAATATTGTTTGAAAAACATTGTTACCTAGTCTGTCCTGATGTTATTTTGAAAAGTCTGGTCTTAGGTCACCGATAAATTTCTGTCAGTTTCTGCAGTGTGTTTTATGATTTATTGCTCAAAATGGTGACTACTGCAAGTATCAAAAGAAATATTTTTAATGTACATTACTCAAGTTGAAACTGACGATATATATAATGGAACTTTCTGATTAATATTAAAAGAAAATCTAAATTGAACAGAAGTATTTGAATGTTTTTTTTAAAACATTGTCACACAAACAAATTTTGGAAATTTCACAATGTAAAAATTATAAAAACTAAACAAAATTATATGATTTTTTTTAAGATACTACTCACTAAGTTTATCTGTGAGAGGGACAAAGTCTAGAGATATCATTGACACCTCTCTGATCCAGAAAGAGTTAAGGTTAAAACAAATAACTTCATATAACTTTTCTTCATATAACTTTAGTAAATCTTTAACAAATCTAGTTACTAATTCTTTATATAGAATTTGTGTTTATTTGCTAATTTCCGGGTTTAACTCTTATTTTGTAAAACATTTACCTGTTTCTTAATGTGAAAAAAATATAAGAATGGTAGTTTCTCTGTTTTAATTATAACTTTTGAATGAAAGCAAAGAAGAGTGTGTAATTATATGTCAACTATGTTATATTTGCTTTGACCAGTATCAATGAAGCCTTTCATCCAATATCCAGGCTCATCAGGCTGGCTGGGATATAATAGACGTAGTAGTGGTTGAGATCCTATTTATATTAGCAGTTAGCTTGATGACAACTAATCAGTCTCTGGTTTAGTTTATAATTGCTATATATTCTAGAGTGTATTTACAGGGGCTTTTTTTGTTTATTAGTACGAGTTCGGGAAGCCATTCAGAGTCAAGACATTAGTCTTCTTAGTAGCCAGGAGTCGAGCATAACTCACATCTCTGGTATAGTTGATGAATCGACAACAGGTTAGTGTGTGATTTCACGTTTCAGTGCTTTGCCCATTGACTACAAACTACTAATAATAATACCATGCACTCTGTTAGTTACATAGTTTATAATAAACTATTGAAAATTAAATGAAACTAACTTTATAATGTTTTATAATAAATATATTTTTTCATAGAAGGTTTTTAACCACAACCTTTATTCACGTACTCTACATTTCCCAAGGATTATCTTACATAACTAAAGGAATTTATTAACAAATGATAGGCATGAGATCCATTGCAAGATAATTTAAAAGCATTTCCCATAGATTTCTGAATATACAGGTGTTTTTTTTTAGCTATGTAGGTCTAGAAACTAAGCCTAATTGATTATTGTATCATCGGGAAAACTGTGCAACTGTCACATTTTGTTCTTTCTCTTGTCACATGTAATTTACTCATACCTACAAAATACTTTTACCAGACTTTGTTGGAGGGTTACCTATGATGTGAACCAAAGGCATGTTACTGAGTTATGTAGGGTTAATTGTTAGATGGTGGACATGTGGCTATATCAAAATCCTTTTTCTTTTTCACTCAGAAATGTGCTTTTGAACCTAGGCATTTTATATAGGCAAGTAGTCATTTTATCAAACTTTGTAGGTCAGCCTTTCATTTTGTTCTGGTTATCCCACTTCAAACAGTTTCTAATGTTGTTTCCCCATTTTGTATTTATCGATAACTTCTAATCAAAGCAAGACACCTGCCCAGAACAGGACTAAAAAGTAACCCACTAAATAAAAATAACTAAATTTAATATACCAGTCTGACTAGGAGAGGCATTGCTATAAAATAGAAAACTAGCAATGATTTAAATGCATTGATTTGTCAGTTCAGTTAAGTACACATTCTGTTATTGATTTTAGTCTTAGTACTAATAACTGTCTGCTAAGATGGATGCGATTTTATCAGTCTTTCCAGAAGTTATTCTAGGTTGTGAGTATCTGGTAGGATTACCACCTGTTACGTATTTTATAGAACCATTCCTTATTCAGTAGTAAAACATGTAAAAACTGATACACATGCTCTTTATGAGCATCCTCGTAGCTTGAATTTCTTAAAATTCAGAAATCTTTACCAATCGTGTAACAAAGGCATTAATTAAAATTAATTGTCC